GGGCATGATGGAGGGCGGTGGAGGAGGCAGGGATGCCACGTCTGCGCTGGGGTCAGGGAGCCGCGGCCAGGGGCGGGGCATCGCGGCGCTGCTGCATGCGCGGTGCATGGCGAGTTGGTGGGTGGTCGGGGGCGCGGCGGGGTGTCACCGGTGCAGCACTCCAGCAGCTTGTCAGTGGTCTCTGCCGAGGTGCGCAGGTCGCTAGGGATGTACTCCTTCACCAGCTTAGCGATGGTGGCTGCGCGGCGTGTGACGGGTTCGCAAGGCGGCGCAGAAAGGCGGCTCAAGTTTGCTTGCCTTGGCCCAGCAGCAAGAGCGGCATCGACGCAGCGGATGCAGTGTGGGCGGTGCACCGGCGCCACCGACGCACCCTTAGGCAGCGAAATGTCGTTGCCCCCGTCGTCCGCCATATTGATGTTGCTGCCTCCCAGTGCAGTTGCACGCGTTGTGACCCCGCGAACTGCGGGGGCCTTGATCCCACGGGGGTCCTTGGGAGAGGCCGCGTGCAATAAAAAGGCTAGATCGAGGTATTTTAGGCGATTATGACGCAGGAGCGAGGCGTGTGCTATCACAATGATCTGGGGACGTGATTGTGCAGTGCGGTGTATGTAGCACAGGTCAAAGCGAACGTGGCGTGCAGGCCACCCTCCTGCCGGGCTTATATCGGCAGGACGCCTCAAGCCGGGGGCGGCGTCACAATGACGTGCGCTCTCACTCGCTGGCCACCGCGCACCCAGGCTGTGGTGATCGAGGACCGATGGCGTCCCTTGCCTGCGGTGTCCACGGAGAATTATCTGTGATGGCAAGCATGCGTTACCAGCTGGCATACGCAAGGGTACTGCAACACATCAGGAGCATGGTGGTAATGAGTGTTTGGACAGCTGCATGACCCACATGCTGCACAGGATAGGCCAGCACGTTCCACGCTGCAGCAAGAAAAGTGAGCTCGAATACTTGAGGCCGCAGCCAGCAATGACGGGGTTACACCACATGTGCTATCATGCAGGGGCTGCAGCCGCCGCACCACAAACTGCGGCAGCTACACCCCCACACACCAACTGCACCCTCAGGTGCTCAGGATCCCACTCGCCTCCCCGCTGCGCAAAAGTGGACACTGATGGTTGCAAAATGGTGGTGTGTGCCTTGACACATTTGGTGGCTGAGGATGTAGAATCTGGGCTGTACTTATAAACGGCACCTCCAATTCTCACTGATAGCAGCAGCGGCGACCTGGTGCTCACACAGAGAATTGTCAGGAACCCCAACCCATGGTTCAAGCGGACATTCCAGCAGCCATGTGATCTAAACTCATGGTGTATCCAGTTGAAGAAAGCAACAGTAGCTGACCACACACACCTATGGCTGCTTTGCCGCTGTGCCGATGCTGAGTTTGACCAGTTCTTGACCGTGATCAGGGTTGTGCCATGTGATGCCGTTAGCACAGCAAGGCGCATGTTGATACAGCGATTGTCGTATTGAAACAAACTTTTGAAAACGGGCAAGATCGTGATGTTGTTCCAGCGGTCATCGTCAGCAGCAGCTTCGCGTACGTGACCAGCAGGTTTGACAGGGCAAACATGGGGTCACCGGGGAGGTTGCATCAGGCAGGCCGTTCAAAGGCTCAAGACCCCGACGAGTCTGTCTCGTCTTTTGCGAGCGGGCCAGCACCTGTGAAGCCAGCGGTGTACTATGCCTGGAAAGCGGATCAGAAGGTAATTGCGACTTGGATTGCTCCTATCTACGCCTGTGGCCGTGGCGAAAAGCACCATGCGAGTTGCAGTGTCGTCGCTCGCGCGTGTGCAGCACCTCTGCTTGCAGTGCGCCATCACGTATCTCGTCAAAGCATATACAGTTGTCTGCGCCAGACCCTTTCCTGACAAAATCAAAATCACCTGCCAACCCAATCAAACCTCCTCATCCCCCCTGCCGGCACCCTCCCCAACGCCGGTGTGGGCTACGTCCGGTGACCCCTCTCATGCTGCCGCCGCCGCCGCCCCGCACGTGCGCGCCGCGCAGGTCGACCATGAGTCGTTCCAGCGCATGCTGGCGGAGTACAGGACGGCCAAGGACCAGCAGAAGAGCGACCAGCTCAAGATCCGCCAGTGGGTGGCCTAGGGGCCGCAGCCGAGCCGCCAGGCTGCAGGCAGCGGCAAGGGCGTTGCGAGGCTGCACCTGCGAGCCTTGTGCCCCGCACACGTAGTTTTCACAAAGGGGAGCAGCTGAAACTCGAAAGGACCCCTGATGACGAGGGGATGATAGTGCAGACGCTCAGGGAGGCCAGCAAGGATCCCGCGGCCGAGGGCGGCCGCGGCGGAATGGACGCTTTCCCCGCAGGCTGGCCACGCAGCTGGCGCGCACGGAGGAGGCCGCGAAGCGCGCGCTGGTGCGCGGCGACGTAAGCGCGCGCGGCGGCGCGGCGGCGCAGCTGCTGGATGCGCAGCGCGAGCTGGAGGGCCTTCGCGGCGCTAACGCCGAGCTGACCAGCAGGCTGGCCAGGTG